GTGTGCCATTTGTTTGTACCCCCAAGAGGGGTAGCGATTTCAACCTGTGTACGTGATAGAAGGGCGGTGGGAGCCAGCAGGTGAGTAGCTTTTCTCAATACCAGTAGGGCCGGCGAAGCCGATGGGCCGAAGCTTTGAACATACAGGAAGCATAGTTATTGTTCTCCTCTTCTTTTTGAGTTATCTCACTATCGTTATGTGTTAGCTTCTTCTTTAGCTCTCTCTCTCTCTCTCTCTCTCTCTCTCTCTCTCTCTCTTCTGTCTCTTTCTCCTTCTTTCTCGTTCTCTTTCTCTTTTGCTCTCTTTCTTTCTCTCTCTCTCTCTCTCTCTGAGAGTCTCTCTGTCTCTCTTTCTATCTCCCTCTCTCCCTCTTTCGCTCTCTCTCTCTCTCTCTCTTTCTGTCTCGCTTTCTCTTGGTCTCCCTCTGCTAACGCTGCCAAAGTGCCGCTCTGACCAACGTCGCAACCCTGCTAGCTTTCGAGTATCTAGAAGAACGGAAACCCGCAGATGGGTTGCACTTTTTCGACATGTCGATTCCCCCGCCACACGACAACACGACAGCGCACGTTTTCTCAGGAATGCTCATTATTTCCTTGTCTTCTGTCAGGGAGCTAGCTTCCAATTAGTTTCCGTGCCACGGAACACCCTTCCGAACTTCCTCGGATGGTCTTGAAGATGTCCCTACCTTTCATACCAACCACCCTGGTTGGAATACAAAGGCTGCCCTTTGATTCACGGGAGATGTTAGGGGCTGTAAATCCTTTTCTTCCCCCGGAGGCTAAGACATTATAAGACATTCAGCGGGTTGGCGCTGGTTTTTTTTTTGGTCATCGGATCAGATCCCATGGGCTCCGGCTGGACTTCCGACGAATTTGATGACATGGGCCTCTTTCTCCACCCAGAGGCTCCTGGGGCTTTCAATGGAAAACCCGACCGCTCCATTAGACACCCCGGAGGTGTTTGAGGGTCTCAAAATCTGGCTGTTTGAGGGCCCGAAATGCATCGGGAGCCTCCAGGGCAGAAGAGAACCAAGGAATGAACCTGAGGGTTCGGACTCGAGATGCTTTTCAAGAGTTGAACACAGGCTCGACCTGGAGAATCCTCGATTTCATGAGTCAGTGGAATTGGTTTGTCTCAACGGGGGGGTAATCACGTGGCCCACATATCTTTTTCGATGTGGCTTTGTTCGTGGCGCCCGCATTTCGGCTTATGGTGCGTAACTCTGCTTTGTTGTCTCTGCGCCTCTTCCTGCCTTTGTGCTTGTTTGGTGGTCGTTTGGATTTGTCTTCCCGCCCTCCCCTGCCCGCCCTCGTCTTCGTGACTGGTTCTGTGTGAACGCCGAGTACATAGACCGGTTCTTGGCTCTTGGCAAGGCCAGATCTTCGTGACCGCTCAACTCAATACCTGCTCAGCTTTTCCAGTGTGCACAGGATGGCCAACGCCCGAATTTGAGCCTGTGGGTTCCCTTGAAAGCTCGGGCAATCCGAAGTGGCATTTAGGAGAGGCGTCCCCTCTCAATGCCAAGAAACCCAAGAAATTAACATGTTTTTAGCAACTAATCAGAACATGTTTGCTCTTATGGGGGGCACTTTAACCCTTTGTGTTTTTCTTTATCAAGTGGGCTTGTCCAGCTTCCATACAGACGACCCCTGCCCTCCAAAAACAGCGGAGTGGACTAGTGACTATTGAACCGTCAGATTCCGGGGCTGGCGCGCGGGTTGGGCAAGTGTTTCAAACAAACCCTGGTCTAAGCGGAGTCCAACAGAAAGTCAGTGACAAGGTCACTGTTGTCAGCGAGGTTCTGTTCCAAGAGCGCCTCGACAGAAGAGAGGGGTTGTTGACCAATCAATGTCTAAAGATCCTTGAAAGGGGCCTGCCCCAGCCTTATCATGAGCTCCCCATCGCCGGCCAGGGAGCTGGAGGCCGGAAGTGGGGGGGGGGCGGGGGGCGGGCCTTGGTCCATGGAAGTATTTTGGCATTGGTTTTGGGCACTGCTTTTCCCAGCTGATTGTTGCTTTTTCAGCACCCGGACCTCCAAACCCATCCCTGGATCCTTAGTTTGAAATCAACCTTGTCTTGGCTGACCTCCGACATCCATTGAGTGGCTACGTGAGTTGAACGTCGCACGAAACCAGACCCTGATCGCCAGGTTGGTGGCGTCCAGGCTCAAATGGTGTCAGGTACCCTCAAGATTTGCGTCGTTTTGAGGGTACCATTGTGGGAGGCCAACGGAACATAACGGAACGTGTGTTTTCCCCCATCGTTTCCCATGGGGTGAGTATAGACCAAGGGCCGCTACTTCTTTCGAGAAGCTTCTGACATAGATGATGGATGCTTTGCGCCGGTACATATAATCTGTGAAGAAGCCTCAGCATACCCAGCTTTAGCCCCCCCCCTCCTCCAACCCCAGGTGTGTGTTTTCTTTTTCAGGCTGCATATGTTGGGGCATTTGCTCAAACAGGGGCTGTGGATTCCTAATAGCCTATGAAAACTGGGGGTGAGGTTCTTTTCGGGCCCCTTCGAGAAGTTTGTTTGAGTCATGGGCCTAGCCACAGGCCTTTTGTCCACGTAGAGTCTGCGACGTGTCCTGTTGCTTTCGGTGTGTGGGTGCCAAAGAAATCTGGGTCGCCGTAGCAACATGTGGTTCTTCGCTCTCGGTTGGCATAGCATACCCATTTTCGATTGTGTTTTGTTGTTCCTCTGTGTTCTCTGTTTTCATTCATTCTATATGATTTATGGTTTATTTATTATTTGTTTCTTTTTGTTGCATTCTTCTTCAGCCTTCTGTTCATCATCTTTAATTGTGTGTTTTCTATGTTGTTCGATTACTTTGAATCCGCATGTTCTATTATTTTCTACATTCTCATTCAAAAAACGAGATGTTTGTTTTTGTGTGCGATTAATCAATATGTATTTGTATGTCTATATTTATGTAGCTATAGTTCGATAGTGTTCCCAGTATGTAGTTTGATTTTTTTTCCTATACCTATCTCATAATTATGTCATAAGTTGTACATGTTCTAGTACTCAGTTAGACCCCCTCAAAAGTCAAAATTTAGCTTTTGTTGAAACATGTTTTCTCTTTAGGGGAAGAACACTTTTTGAGAAAATTGGAGGGAAAACTAAAATTCAACAAATATGGAAATATATAATATTATGTTAACACAATTGTTGTTTGATTCGTATTGAGCTTAGCGTTACCCGATTCATGAAAGGCTCTCATTTTTTTAATCAAAGCTCTCATCAAATTTATGAACCCATCTTTGTTTGTTTTACTCATCAAGGTTTCTTCCTCTGTCTACTGCTTTACTTTATTCCTTTTGTTTTCGCTTCAACTAATTGGAATGCTTGCAGAAGGTATGAATATAGCTTGTTATGTGAAGGAAGAGAGGTGTGCAAAGCTACAATGCTTATGCAAGATAGATCAACTGAATCATTAAGAACTTTAGTTGATACTTCCTCCTCATCCACTTCCGATTCAACTGAAGAAGGTTGGGCCCACAATGGATGAACTCCTGATAGTAGAATGCGTGGGAAAATATGTTTTCAACATTCTCAATTAAATAGTATCAATTTCTCTTAAGAAAATAGTTCTTTCTTTCAAATCAAAGAAACAAAACGAGGGTTCCACGGTAGGAATCTCAATAGTCCCCAGTAAGAATCCGCATTTTCTATTATTGTTTTACATTATCATGTTTGTTGATTTGCCGTTCGATTAATTAATATGTATTTGTATGTATTTATGTATTTATGTATTCATGTATATATATATATGTATATATATATATATTTCGATGTTTCCATAATATGTACTTTGAAATTCTCTATTTTCCTATACCTAGTTCATAATGTGTACATGTTGTACTACTCAGTTAGTCCCCCTCAAAAGTCAAAATTTAGCTTTTCTTTGAAACAATTAAAAACTTAGGAAAACATACAAGAAAAATTGAAGAAACATTAAAAAGAGTGGAACAATGGAAATGGACAGTATTTTGTTAAAACAATGAAGCTCTTGTCTTTGGCTACTGGTCAAACGATAACATGACCCTTTTGTAAAGGAGTTCATTACTCAGTCAGAGGTCCATGGGCGCAGTGTCACCTTTGTGCAGTGTTTTGGCCAATAACGCCTCAACGGTCGGGGGGGGGGTTGAAAGGGGGCGGTTTGCAGGGTCCCTGCTTTCAGGGCCATTTGTGTTTTGGTGGGTGCACTTTTCAGGTTCGCTTGACAAACCGAAACGAATCCACACAGTTCGAAAGTCCACATCTTATTTTGCCGAAAACGCCCTCCTAACTGAGCCGTGAGCCAAGTGCCAGGACTTGACCACCAGGCACGGCATCAATCCGTCGGATGGGTGGCGTGGAGGTGTGCAAGCGGGGCGCTTGCATTTTTGTCAAGCTGCCAAGCCCAAGTCAAGGGATCCTGACCTTGCGGATGAAGGTTCTTTCTTATTTCAAGGTATCTTCTTGAACAGTGGGCATTCGGCAAGGACCGCAATTCAAAGCATTCAAGCACAATGTGCACCTGAAATGTCAGAAGAGGGCTGGACAAGTGTCGATGAGTAAAAGTCCCTGCAAATGGCATGCATGCTTGGTTAAAGTGTCACTGGCCCCCTCCTAGTTGACATCCTTTTTGCGTGTTTTGCATGTCCATTTATTTGCATCTATCGATGTATGCATGTATCAATGCTTGCATGTGAGTGAACATGTGTCTCTCTCGCTCTCTCTCACAAGAGAAGTATCCCTTTAGCTGGCTCCAACCTGGTTGAGCTCCAAGAGTTCTCTGATTGCCCCATAGACCGCCGGGCAGCTCTTGGCAACTTGCGCACACAAGGGGGGGTGTAAGGTGTAGGTGCTTATCCCATTTGTCCTTCCAACATGGGTCTGTCTGAAAGGGAAGCAAGAACACCCACCACCTGCAGGGAGGGTTTTCTTGTTTCAGTGGTTGATCAGCGTATGTGAGGGCACAAGCCAAATGGGTCTCTTCGGTGCCTCTTGCGCTTCCAGGCTTGGAGCAAAGGTCTCCGATCGCGTTGCTCCGCGGCGAGTGGGTCAGTCGGTTAGGTGGCGTAGGTTGGTTGCACAATGCGTTTAGACCAACTGCTGAATGTCAGTTGCGCCTGGCTCCCCTAGGTCAAAATTTGGACAACCAGGCCCCGGCCCCCTTGAAATGCAAGCCAAAAGGAGCGTGACATGTGCAAAGCTGAGATTGGCCATTGGCCAAAGACAACTTTGAGACGACTTGGTCTGGAGGGCCCAAAATATTGCCCTCTGAGTTTGAGGTCGTTTGGGCAGGGAGCCCATGGATCAGTTTGGTTCCAGATAGCTGGACTCCGCTTCAGTTCTGTTCAAATCTTTGCCAAAGGACACCTCCATTTCGACGAGGGTTCGCCCAGTTGCCGTATTTGGCCGGGTTTGTTCACAGCTTCGGTGGTTGGTTTTTGAGGCAAACCAAGAAGAAGCCTGGGGGCTCCTTTTTGGTTGTTTCGGTAAGCAATTGCCAGGGAAATCCATTTATTGTCAACCAACAGGACACCTAAACTTTGGGGAATGGGTCCCAAAATTTTAGACACGCCCAGCTGTCTGGTTGAGTGGTTTCCGGGGAGTTTGTCCATCTCAGGTGCGCTGGACCAAGGTTTGCTCCTCACTGCTGGACTTGGACGCCGCCTGCCGCAGGCGCGAACTCGACACTCTCTGCTGCTAGCTTCCCTTAGCTGATAAATGAATATGCTTGTTATTTTCAACTACTGGTGTTAAAGCGCATCGATCTCACTACTGGAAAAATCATGCTTTTTCCCGGGGGACGAAAAGCAAAAGGAGGCTGGCCTAAAACACCGTTAACCCTAAGGGCTCGAACAGCTTTCTACCGGGGTAGATGAACAAGTTGCGCACCAAACGCTTGGATGAAACGGGAACGGACATCGGGGGCTCTTTGTGATCGACCTTCAGCGGCAATCGTGCTCCAGTTGAGAGCCAGCCTGGAGAGACAATAGACACATGGATGGGGAGCTGTGTTTCCGGGGTTTGTTCTTCACAGTTCCTTGGAAGCCTGCAACAAAAAGTGGGTCGCCCATTCCACACCCGGAAATATCCCATAGAGAGCAGTGTGGCGTCGTACTCCAGAATGCCCTCACAAAGCAAGACCTTGGCCCAGTTGCGCAGTGGATCAAATGCATCCGTTTTTCCCTTTCTGTTGAAAGGGCTCCTTCAAAACACCAGCTGTCCTTGTTTGGCACGGCCACTCGGCGCAGGTGAAAAGATCCGATGCGTTCCTTTGGAAGACCCCATTTTGGCTACCTCAGTCGGGGTTCCTCCATGTTCCTTTTTAGAACCTTGAAAAGTTGCAATTTCAACGGACCAGTAATTTAATCAACTTTTGAAATGGAAATCCAATGACCCCTGTCAGACTGAAAGCCGAGCCAGTTTGTTCCCATAAGCCGAAGCAACTTCAGACAGCCCCCAGCCCCGCGAAGTCGCCAGGAGCGAGGCACGCACCTTTGCCCAACTGGCTGGGGAGTGGCACGATGCCTATGGCGCTTTGGCCAGCCCCTCGGACGCAAGCCAACTCGCAGTGAGGCAACGCCGCCACACGGCCGGTTGGGGGGGGATGGCCTGTTGCTATGCGCGGGGGGTTGGGGGGGGGGGGGGGTTGGATACTTACATGGGGCGGGAGGGGGTTGTTGGTGTACCAAGCAAAGTTGGGCGGAGCGGCAAGTTAGACGGAACAGCAAATCTGCCCTTTCGATGTTACAAGGCTTCATCATGGCTGGTGAAACTTGGCTATGACGACTTCTTGCATCCTTTCCGGCAGTTCTATTTCCGACACGCGTGCAAGCACTCTCACCTCGTTGGCCGCTTATGTTAAGGTCCTTTCATTGCAAGGGACCGTCTAATAGCTAGCATCGAAGAATCGAAGAGGTGTACGGGGTACAACCAGTCTGTGGCACAGTGCCTACCAGGCAGTCCCTGGATACAGTCAGATGCCTACAGGTTCCTGAAGAGCGTCGGACATCATCTCGTGATTGTTTCTTTGTCCATCCGATGTTTGGGTGTGTGGCAGAATGGCAGCACCCTCTTATTGGCTGCTTTCAAGCGAAGCCGACAGGATACCAGCCGTTTGAGGGGCAAGCGAATCTGCGAGACCTAGTTGGCTTGTTTCAATAAAGATCCAAGTTCAATTACAGCCACTCGCTTCCAGGATTTCGCGGAGACGTTCTCGAGATGATTGAGGACTGCAAAGGTTGCCGGGCGATGTTAACAATTAGGCAACTGTTTGAAGTGACAGCGCGAGGACGGCGAGGCATCTGCGGTGCAGGTCCAGCAGAACGGACAGGAGGCGGGCCCCACTGCGATCGTGGGATCCGCGAGGGGTAGATCCCTAATCCAGCGCTCTAGCTAGCCTGAAAGTGAACCCGAACTACTAACGCACCAAAGCTCTGCCGCCTTGATTGGCCGCTAAGGTAGAAGCGAACTCAGGGAGACTTTTCTCTGGCTGCTGTGCTCTTGCAAAGGGGATCCTCCAGCCGAAGATGTTCCCAGCGATTTCCCTTGTACAGGCAATGACTACATGGATGATTATTCCTGCATCCGTGGCAGGGTTTCATCCTATCAGATGTTCTTTCGAAGACATATTATATTTTTTGGTATGGTTCCGTGTGAAACTGCAGAGGGGCAACTCTGCAAGAACTTTAGTGAGCCGACCTGAAATAGTTTGCGCCTTGTGGCAGCAAATTCCCCGCCCCCCCAAGAACATGTTACCCGTTTCACCCATCCATCATGTTTGCAATGCGCAGGCTAGCATTCGTTTTGAAGATCCATTCATTGCCAGATGTGCTTTCCTGTTTGCTTTGCCTGGCTTTTATCCTAATGTTTCTCAAGCACAACCCTTAGTCATTGATTTCCGAACACTGCCCGACTTGTGACATACGCCACAAATTGGCCTTGGCCATTGAAGGGGGTGGCGCCCTGGAGCTTCAGCTGTTTGCGAGGGCGTGTGTCACAGCCAGGCGGAAGCCGATGGCTGACCCGTCTCGACCAGGATTTTGAGCTATGAAACTGTTGCAGGTTCAAAGGAAAATGTCCTTTCACAACTTTCCAGTCCGGTTTCCATGGCATGCGTGTGTGTGTGTGTGGAAGGGTGGCTCCAGTTTGTTTTTTTAGTTTTTTTTTTTTGGTTACCCTAAAGGCCGGGGGTGGCCAAAATCGTGGTTCCTCGGTTTCAGTCGTGGGATCGGGCCAGGCGCGCGTGTCCGTGCTCTTGTACTCGGACTTTTGGCAGGCCAGGACAAAACGGTTTCAGGGATTGTTGTTGCCGGGCTTATTCTAGTCGCCTACGGAATTCGCCCTGCTTTTTTGTTGGTGCATGCTCTCTGCACAGATTTGTGGGAGGGAACACACCTTAGTTGGCTTGAGGGATGAAGCGTCTGGGCCGTGTTGTGGATTTGCTATTTGACCTCAGCTCTTTGACACTGTTGGACATGACGGTTTCCCCGGTAAGGTGCACGTTTGGCAGGGAGCAAGTGTCGTTCTACAGATGATGTTCCTACCTGACATGGTTTTGTGTGTGTGTGTGTGTGCAAACTTTTAGGGGAGAAGATGACCTTTTGCTGGAGCAGTTCTGACCACATGGACTCAAACTGGGCGCAGGCGTTTTTCTGGGGAAGCATCACATATTGTGTTGGAGTTGCTTCACCAAAAGATACACTACCCCCCAGAAAGGCGGAACCTTCGCTCCTTGAAGGCGGGGGCCTTTGGTTTGTGTTCCAGCTCCGGTGTCGGGAAAGGGCGTGTTTTTTTTGCCTAGCCCTGGCACAGGGCTAACCCTGGTAGGTGGTTGGTTGGTTGGTTGGTTGGTTTGGTTGGTTGGTTGGTTGGTTGGTTGGTTGGTTGGTTGGTTGGTTGGTTGGTTGGTTGGTTGGTTGGTTGGCGCCTCGGTAGGACGAAGGTTTGGAATGGGTTCAGGGTAGGTTTAGGGTAGGTTTGGGGTAGTCCGTTCAGTGTAGGTTAAGGCCCGACATCGTTTTAACATCCTCGGCATCAACAGGCTTTGTTTGACACACCATTCTCTGCCCAATCTCTGATTTGTGCCCTCAGGCGCTGCCGCTTGCGCTATGTCGAGAAATTGCGGCTGTTTTGCTAAAAGCAACCTTTTGGGTGGTTTGCCCATATGGCCCGCTAAGGCGGTTCTGTTGTTGCGTTTTAAGTGAATCGGCCAGCGATTCTGGAGGCAATAGGGTTGTTTCCAAAAAGCACGCCTATGATTCTATGATCTTCGATGTTTTGTTGCTTGCCTTTGCCAGAGAGCAGTCTTGTGATGCTCAGAGAGCAGAGAGGGGTTGCGAGTGGAAGCTACAGTTGCAACGGCGCTGACTTGAATGCTTGGTCGCTGTTTTCTGCCCTACCCTGACTGCAGCTCATGTGACCGCCAAAAAGGGCATGTAGAACAAGTCGTGCCAGGGGCGAGGGTCCTAAGCTGGCCGCAAGGCTATGGTTCTGCCATGTAGGCGCAACAGAGGAAGATTTGGCGCAAGTGTTGGAACACTCCCACCTGAGTCTTTTCGCGTCAGCTTGCGAGGGAACCATTCGCTTATGTTGCTCGACCACATGCTCGACCACATCGGTGCCGGCAAGGAAACGTGTTTAAATCAGTCCATAAACACAACCACGACCGCAGCCAATTTTAAACCCAGCCTAAACCAGCCCTAAACCCATCCGAAACCAACCCCAAGAAGCCCCACCATAAACCAGCGCCAAACCATCCACCTCAAGCAGAGCCACCCCCAAATTTGCTCTCAGTAGGCCTGGAACCCATCCAGAGCCAAACCGGAGCCAACCTGGAACCCACCCTAAACCCAGCCAACCAAAGCCTGTTGATGCTGAGAATGTTAAAACAATGCCGGGCCTTAACCTACCCTAAACGGACTACCCTTAACCCACCCCAATCTTTGTCTGTTAGTGTCTCCTTTGATGCACACCAGGCTGAGCCAGGGTTAGGCTAATGCCAGGGCTATGCAAAGAAAACACCTCGTCGCTCAAATTGGATTCCTGGTACCTTCAAAACATTTTGGGTGGCACAGCACTTCCTGCTCCCAGGCCAACTTTCAAGATGGCCAGCTGTGGTGGTCCAGCGGGGAGGTCTGGACGCACTCAAGTCGAAGCGATGCTCGGTCAGGCGGGGCATGAAGGAATCACCTCCAAGAAGCAAGGTACATGAATTAGAGCCTGATCTTGACCCTAAAAGATAACCACATCACAGCGGGATGAATCAGGTTCGAGTATTTTCTGAACTGGGGGACAGGCTGTTGTCGCGTGCTGTGGCAGTAGCGTTGTCTCCCACTACGCGCCCGTGTTGTGAGGCAACCCTGGACCCAGCAAGCGGCGGTGGTATTGCCGCCCTCGGCTCAGCTATCCGACGTTGGCGTGATGAGGTGTTTCATCGACAGCTGCGTATGTTTGTTTGTACCTTTCTTAGGCGGCGATGGGCGGGCGTGAGGGGCCGTCCTGTGGTGCCTTTTTTAATGCCCTCGAGGCCCCGCGCAAGCACTTTGCTTGCGCCTGCTAATGAATCGTTGGGCCGGTGGACCGTGTTCGTGCGTAACCTCGACCTGAAGTGTCTTGGGGTGCGTGCGAATATGTCATTGGCTGGCTGGTTTTATTGCCAAGAACAGAGTTGTAGAGGTCAATGTTAGCAAGCTTGCACAATTCAGCATTCTTCTGTTTGTTGCTTAGTCCTGCCTGACTGCATTCTCGAAAATTGAATGATCAAAAAGATATTATCTATTTCATTGCTTCACCTGATCACCTAGGGTGCAAAGAACGATTAGGTAAGGTTGGAATTTTTTATATATATATAAATAACGATATTATTAGAATAAGAATTGAATTTAGGTTAAACATTATGTTTTATATATATAATTATTTTGGTTTTTTGAATGGCTAATTATATATAGATATAAATGTTCGATATATAATATAATAATTGATAATGTTTTTGATTTTAAAACTAAATAGAAATATTATATAAATATTTTATATTATTAATCTTTTTAATATTTAATATATGTTTTATTATAAATTATATATAATTGTTTTAGTAAAAGGATTGGTAATTTGTAATATAATAGGTAATTTAACCTAGATTATTTGAAAATATATTAATAAAATAGAATTGGAAAATACAAATTTTATTTATTTATAATTTAGTATTATTTTAAACACGAAGATTATATTATTTTATTTTAGAAAACGAAACCTAAACTAAACACATAAAAAAAAATCTCGATTTAAAAGATATAAATTCTTCGTAATTTAAGGAAGGATAAATTTATTAATTATAAATTAAGGAAAATAATTATAACACCGTTATATATTAAATATAATTGAAATATTTATCGAAAATAATAAACAAAGTTAAGGCAATTAATTTATTATTTTTGAAGTATACTTCTAAAATTACTTGTTTGTGCGGCTAATCGCCGCTTTCCGATGCTTTTCACATGCTAAATGATGATGTTTTTATAATTTAAATGAAATTCGGATTTTAAATTATCCCAAGATACGGAGGACGTTTTTCATCTACCATACGATTAAGGGATCGAAGGAATTATTTTCCCTCGGCATCCAATTTATCCATACTTTCCCAAATCAGAGATTCGTAATTAATGTTTTGAGCTATACATCGACTCCGCAAATCGTTATGAGTGCGTTTATGTTCGGCATATTGCCGATGATTCCTGTGCCGCCACTCCCAAGATATGAGATTGGAAAGGAGATGTAACCGCTACATCCAGGGCCAACCGCGGAAAACGAAGCCAAGAAGATTAAAGGATTTATGGGGCTCCTATCACCAGAACATCCGTAGGTCTTATCCGGAGATTAGTGAGTAATAAATTCATAGGCTCCAACGAGGGTCGTGCGCCAGTTTGTAAGGCTAAAGCAAACACAGCGTTCTTCAAAAATGGTGTGCGTGGCCTGTTTGTGTCTATGTCCCATGCAATGGAAAACAGGGTGTCCTAAAGTATCCAAATTTTGGTGGCAAAAAGAACATGTCTCACCCGGTTCAAAACATGGAACTCCCAGCCGCATAGAAACAATATCTCAAAATGCAGCGTTGGTGAGCAACAAATCTTGAGCCAAAACGGGGCGTGCCCGAAGCCAATCATCTGCTCCTGAGGCAGCAAAAGTGCGTAACCGTATTTGTCCCACTACATCCATTTATGCCATCAAGATTTACAATTCTAAAAACTTACAAAATCAATTATACTTCTAAATTTCTATTAATAAAAAAAAAAATAGATTATATAAATATTAATATTATATATCTTTCTATTACATTGAATTATATATATATTAACAATATATATATTTAAAAAAACTACAAACCTAATCTAATAACGAAATTAATATTATAAAGTTACATAAATTTTATAAGTAATTTGTATTTACCACAATATATATTTTTAGGATATCATATTAAATAATAATAAAATATATTAATTGGATTTATAATTTGTTAGTATGTTAGTTTTGCATAAATATTTTTCTGATTTTTGATGTTAGAATTATTGTTTGAATTTAGTGGTGATATGGCGGAGAAAGAAATTATTGTAGTTAGAATATATTGGTTTTATATAATTAATGTTATAAGTTTGAATTTGATTTAAAATATAGGATATGTTTAGTATTATTGTTTGGCTTATATTAGGGTTAATTAATTAGAATACCAATACTATTGGATTGTGAATATATGTTTATGAATATTGATGGTTGATATGGATAGGAAAGATAATCGATATATATATATATATATAAAGAATTGATTATTATAAAAATTCTATTGTTATTTGTTATTCTATTATTTAAATTGATAATGTGAAAGATGCAATATTAATATAAATTGAATTTATATATTGAATTAAATTGAAATTAGAATATATTAATTTAAATCAATAGTAATTTAATAAATTGAATTAAATTAATATAACCATATATTTAATTATTTGAAATATTTATTTTATATATATTATATTAAACTATTCATATAATAAACCTATTTTCTTTTTTATTACTAATCTATATTTAGAAATCCCATATATATTTATAATCCAAATCCTAAATATAATTTAAAATCCATTCATAATTATAGATTCCAATTTAATTCAAAAAAAATAAAAATTCAATTCCTATTCCCTCAAAATCCGCCGAAAATTTCTAGAGAGAAAAGGTAAAGAAGAAAAAGAAGGGGAACAATCAATTTCTAAATATAAAATAAATATTAATATTATTTAAAAAAAATAATCTCTAATTTATAATTATTCAAGATTAATTTATAATGTTCCATAATTCATAAATTCTATTTTATATAAATTTCATTATTTAATGTTTTAGAAAATAAAAATAAAAATAATAATTTATCAATGTCATAATAATCAAAATTCAAACCCATATCAATATATATTTTCTAAATAAATTCATTTATTATATCATGTAAACATAATAATAATATATATAATATTCAATATTTAATAAATATATGGATTTATATTTTTTTTATGGGGATCGGGCAAATTTTTTTGGGTATGGGGTATAATTCGTAAATATAATTCGTGGCTATAATTCGGGAGTGTAATTCGTGGAGGTAATAGCAGCAGTAGTAATAATAATCGTCGAAGTAGTAGTTTTAGTAGTAATATTATAATAATAATAATAATAGTAATAGTTAGTAATTAGTAATAGCGAATATAATTCATAAATATATTTCGACTAAAAACAAAAACAATATTAATTACAAATTCAGAATAATAGTTATAATAATAATAATCATAATAACAATTACAAGAATAATAGTAACATCTATAAAATGAACAACGACTATAATAATATAGACATTTCAAAAAAAACAAAAAACTACCCTTAACAAAAAATATAAAAAAAAAACAATAATATGATTAAATACCATTAATAATAATTATTATAAAAATAATCAATAATATATTATAAAATAATAAAAATATAATAATATCTCATAATATATATTTTTTAAAACAAAATATAATTAGAAAAATCTAATTCAGAGAAATCCCATCTTCTGCCTTTTAATTTAATTCAATATGCAAAAATATAAATCCATATAACCAATTAACAAAATAATCCAATTTTTTAGATTATTTTAATATATATATATATATTCGAAGATTAGAATTAATATATTAAAACACATTTTCCTTCCTCTCAACCTATCAATTGATTGCGCCACGAATTTAGTCATGGGTAACGACTTTACTCAGTTTATGCCAATTTTAAGCAACCTTGCCCCAAGACCGAGCGCGCCGGTCATGACCCGAGCTTTTGAACAAACACAAGTGGGAGTGGTGTGCAGCCTGCTACGGGATGTTCGAATCGCGGGAAGCACCGCACTCTTCGAGATTTCTGCCCAGCCTCTGCCGTCCCGCCTTTGTTTGCAAGCCCGTGTCAGGCTTTGCGCCGGCGCGAGGCAAAAGCAACACAGCCTGCGTGGTGCACTCCTTACGCAAGCATGCTCTGATGTTACGCAAGGCGTGTCAGCCACTAGCCAAGGCAAACTGAAGCAACTCTTGTGCAAATTTATCCTACGTAAGGCGCATCGGGCGCCAGAGGATAGCGCCTTCCTCATGACATGCGGCACAAAGGAAACGACTGAATCACCTCTGTCAAGACACAGACCTGCGTGTGCACTAGCAGTGCAATATCGTTTTTGGCAGGCAAAAATTTGTCATATCTTGCAATCTTCTACGAGAGCCTTGGAAAGCGACGACCAGTAAACTGAAATTTCCCTGCTTGCCCTGGTTGGAAGAAAGTCCGCATGATATTCTGCGCTCCTCGCCGTGTTGACATTTAGGCCTTTGGGTAGCAAAATGTCAGCATCCATCCGAGCGGCAAACTCGGGAACCGCCACTACGCCAACAGCAAGCAACAAGTGAGCCAGGAACTTTGGAAGGGCACGACCATGCAACTGGTGGTCTGCTGTCAGAGAGGTTGAGTAGCAAGAACCGGCCATGTCTGGCGACCAAAGCTCATCTGAACATCAAGCATGCCTCTGCTGGACTATGTCACGAGACTTTTCGGCACTGCCAAACCTGCGTGCCACTGCCTTGCTTTTCGGCAAGTGCTGGAGAAAAAAAACCGAGATCTCACGTCACTTGCCTGGTCGCGAAAGGGGGCCGAACACATTTCTTGACACGCGCTCTTTGAGCTGTGCGCGGGAGCTGCGTGGAACTGGCGCCAAGCGAAGTCTTTCTCAACTCACCTGCCTGCTGCTTACACCCTGCGCATCCGTGCTCCCCGTGGCAGAAACCCTACAGCGGCGGGAACAAACACATGCTTCACGCCGAAAGGCGACGCAACTTCAATCCTTTCACCCCGAAAGTGTCACGCCCCAGACCTGAGCAATGTTAGCGCAGCCTCACATTATGACACCCGTGAAAGCTGGCTCTTGGACGTGGCAAGGCCCTGTCCGAGCACCTTGAGGGAAGATCCGGATGGGAACAATGCGTGCAAACCGCCTCAACAAGATTCGGCCTTTCCCATCTCCTTTTCGCGGTGAAACGAAGTTAAGTGCCTTGAGCGCATGCCGTGCTTTCACTTCGCAGGCAACCTTGAGGAGCATTTGAAGCCATTTCGGCCTGGAGACAGAGGTTGCAACATCTTTGCTATGAAGCTGCCATTGCTGAGGACTCTTACTGCAGGCGATGGCAGCGCAGACTCTGTGCGGAACGCGGTCAAACTGAACAT